TTAATGTTATTTTAAAAGTGCTCGAGCCTCCGTAAATATTTATGGCTTTATTTTTAATTTAAAAAACGAACATAATCGGTGACCTCATTTGGAATGGGTCTTATCTGACTTGCCTGGAGAAAATAAATGCTGAAAACGACTTTCTGCATATCTATAAATAATAGCACAGAGTTCACTAAAGCCCGTCTGCATTTTGTATCATTAGTGTGTTTCAAATAAATTTGTTAGTATTATTCTTTAATGTCGATTCTTATCTGCCAGCAAATGGCTTCAATGGCTCGATGGATTTATAATTGAATTATTAGTTTCATTAAAAAAAACAACTTTATCATACTATGTACATATGTACATATGTCTAGTCAAAAGTAATTAGGTATATAATTTTTATAAATAGCATTTTAATTTTTTTTTAATTCTACTTTCAATTGATATATTGAGAGTAAAACCCAATGGGACATTTTTTTCTGAGAAGTAGCACATAATACTTTCATATTTTAAATGCGCCTTAAAAAAATTAGAAATAAGGAAAATAAAAATGAAAAAAATATTTTGTTTCACCTATTTTTTATTTTTTTCGTATGAAAATGATTTAAAATACCTTTAAACATAAAATAATATTAAGTATGTTTTATGTTTATGTTATGTTTATGTTATGTTTATGTTATGTTTATGTTATGTTTATGTTATGTTTATGTTATGTTTATGTTATGTTTATGTTATGTTTATGTTATGTTTATGTTATGTTTATGTTATGTTTATGTTATGTTTATGTTATTTTTATGTTATGTTTATGTTATGTTTATTTTATGTTTATGTTATGTTTATTTTATGTTTATGTTATGTTTATTTTATGTTTATGTTATGTTTATGTTTATGTTTATGTTTATGTTTATGTTTATGTTTATGTTTATGTTTATGTTTATGTTTATGTTTATGTTTATGTTTATGTTTATGTTTATGTTTATGTTTATGTTTATGTTTATGTTTATGTTTATGTTTATGTTTATGTTTATGTTTATGTTTATGTTTATGTTTATGTTTGGAATAACACATTCATGGCATTTTATTTTTTTAGAATGGAACATGTTAACAATATGGTGATTTTAGGATGCTTTTTCTTATTTGAACCAATATAAATTAACTGCAAGTTTATTTAAACCATTTGGTTATTTTATTGGGTTTAATTGAACTACTTCATTTACCTATCGGTAATTTATAACTCTTTGGTTTTGGTTTAAATTCGGTTAATGTAACACAATATTACCAAAATTAATATAATAATAAATTAAACCAACTTGTTATTTTTAAAATAACTAACCTAAAAAAATCTTACGTTCTGATATTAGTTGCAGCTTTGCTTTAAAATGCATATGTTCTCTGATAAAACCGATAGATGCTCTATTATCACACAATACTCACAATCTATAGGTATACAGCTTTATATATAAATATAAAGCTGTATTGAAACTAATTTTTTCTATGTAGATAACAATGAAAACTGCAAAACCATTACTTTTTTAATCAGTTTATTAATTAATATTTGGTGAAATATAACTTGTTGGTTAAAAAGTATATTCAAATTAACTAAGCTTAATTTACCAAAATTTTTAACTAAGTTTACTAAACCAAAATATGTATTAAAAATAATTTGTCAACCATTTTTAAAGGTTAAAATTATGTAATATTACCAATAGATTTTTTTATTAGTTAAATTATACTAAAAATATCCTTTGAATTTACCTTAAGGTTATAGCAACCTGTTGGTAAATTTAAAGGGTTATTTTTTAGTTCATAGTAACCTTAATGGTTGAATACATCTAATTGGTAAAAAAGGTATAAAAATCTTAATTTTACTAATTGGTTAATTTAGAATGCTAGTTATTTAACCAGTTGTGCTACTTGAGTTATGTCTGCATTTAAAAAAAAAATATTTGCTCTCATCAAAAATAACTATTTTACTCATATATATATATATTGTATACTTGAAAAGCTCTATCTTTTGAAGAAAAAATCATTGTCATATGTCATTTTTATGCCCTTTGTGATTAATAGAAAGCCTCCAAAAACTTTAAAAGTTATTTCTTCATTTCTTAAAAAGAGTACTACAAACTAAAAACAACATTTTTTAAAATCGAATTATTTTAAAATAAATACCGAATTTTCGCCAATCAAAATACAACACACTGTATAAAATATGTTAAACTACTTACATGTTTTAAATACCTACATAAAAATCCTTTAAAAAGTGTTAATTTCAGCTAAACAACTAGCCACTTGTTGATTTATCTTGTTATTTTAAATTTATTTGCAAAAGAATCGTATTTTCTGATTACACGAAAAGTTCATTAAAATCCTTTTATGCTTTTATTTAAGGTGGCTTACAGTTTTATTTATGAATGGTCTGCATTAATTACATAAAAGCTAAGCAAAATTTTCACCCAGTTAAGTCTGAATGCCTGAAAGAAAGTTACAAATTTAATAATTACACGAACAAAATTGAACTTTTAATTGTTACACTAGTTTTAAATATGTTGGCAATATTTTAATATTATAAAACCTTAATAAAATCACAAATAAATCTTTTTATAATCCTGCTAAGAATTATTCAAAACAATAAAACAAACCTCTTGGTAATTTAAAGACAATCAGAGAGCTCTAATTATCCAGGCATATTTACATTAAAAGTAAATTCCTGACATTTTCAGGTCAACAGAAGCCTTATTTAAGGCGTTAAGATAATTATGGGTTTAATGAAAAAAATTGAATTTTAAACAGATTACATTTTAATGCTACTAAAACAGGGTGTTCAAAGTTGTCTCGCCACAAAACTCATTTTCCAATCATTTATTTCCAATTTCCAACAATTATTATTTTAGTAAATGACCTCCGTTCTGTTCTACATATCTCCTAATGCGTTTTTTCGAAAAATCCAGGTTTATTTCTTATGGAAAGCATTTACAACTGCATACACCAATGATTTTAAATATCTAATGGGATTGGGCGCACTACTGCACTAAAAAGATCGACAATCTTAAATGGTAGTGTTAAAATAAAAATTGTAATATGTAACATGTAAATTTTAAATACTCATTTAAAGACCGGAACTTATATGTATAGCAGTGCATGATAAAAATAAGGGTTTTCATTTAGTACCGCGATTGTTTCAATTTTCTGTTTAAATATTTACAAGGCAATTTACTATGGCTTAATATGGAAAAAAGTTCGCAAATTGTGAAGTAAAATTTTAAACATTCTACTACGTCTGTGAAACTTCCGTTCTTTAAAAGCATTTTGAAAGAAAACCGGGAAAAAGCAAACAAAAGTTTAACTAAATGTGCTTTTTATACGTATAAAGAATTTTTATATTTTTATATGTATATATATATATATATAAATAATTAATATGCAATATTAGTTATTAAATATAGTTGAAAAATGCAAATACAATACAAACAATTAAACAATGTTAATAGGTTGTAAAATGTATACAAAATTATTAATAATGAAAACCTTTTGTGACCAGAAAATGTATTGTTTATATACACTCACAGGCAAAATAATCGATTTACACAAATTTTCGATGAATTTCAATCGCAAATAACTTTTCGGATTTAAACAAATATTAAGGAATATTGTAGATACATTAATGGAGAATCGCTCACATTTTAAAAATTACCAAAAAATACACGTAGGTACGTTTATAATATACAGGTTTAAACAAAAAGATGTTTTTTACCATAAGTTTCAGACAATCTGTAGAGTGGCAAAACCGTATATTTTTCTAAATTAAGTTTTAATTATCCTCTCACATCTATTTTTAACAGTTTTGTTTTTGGTTCACCTTGATATTCATTTTTGTGGAAAATATGGATTAAAAAAAACATTGCAATTTCCAATATTTTTCCTGTACGAAGAACTAAGGTTGCTATGGTCCATCCATAGTCTATGGAGGATGACAGTGACAGTTTTGTTGAATCATTTTTTGTTAATTAATATGTTAATTTTGAGGTGTCTTCTTACTTTTAAAAATGTATATGTTCCCTTTGTACTTTACTTCTTGTCACGTTTAAAACACTTGCCACGTAATACTGTGACCGTCCATCCTTAATTAAATCAATGTCTCTGGCAATATCAGTCGGAGACATCCATTTTTAAAAGTAAGAAGACACCTCAAAAGTTGCAAAAAACAATTTGATAGCTTTTGAAAGCCCTATATGACATGTCCAAGTATGGGATGATTCAACAAAACTGTCACTGTCATCCTCCATAGCCTATGGATAGACCATAGCAACCTTAGTTCTTTGTACAGCAAAAATATTGGAAATTGCGATGTTTTTTTAAAAAATCCATATTTTCTACAAAAATAAATGTATCGGGGTGAACCAAAAACAAAACTGTTAAGAATAGATGTGACTTAATTTAGAACAATATACGGTTTAGCCTTATGTTAAAAAACTTATTTTTGTTTAAACCTGTATATTATAAACGTACATCTATTTTTTAGTAATTTTTTAAAATGTGAGCGATTCTCCATTAATTTATCTTCAATATTCTTTAATATTTGTTTAAATCCGACATCAAATAAACAAGTTATTTGCGATTGAAATTCATCGAAAATTTGTGTGTGAGTGTTTGCTGTGAGTGTATAAACAAAATTTGTAAAAAATACTTTCAAAAGATTGATGATCCAAATTACAAAGTTAAAATCGAATAAAAAAAAGTGAAATAAAATCTGAGAATTAAGGGATCGGTTGATAATCTGTCGAAGAGGTGTAATAAGAATGTCGCGAATAAAAAATCAATTAAAAACGTCGAGCAAAAATCTGAGAGCGCCGTCAATCGACACCGAGGGAAAAGAATAAAACAGTGGCGGGCGGGCAGGCAGCAAGCGGCAGGTTCTTGCTGCATAGGGGCTGGGCACCAGAACCGACGCCGACGCAACGCGTCCCGAGCGTCGCGACGCGACCCACAAAGCTACGGACTACCATCACAGTGCGGTGGACGGATTTTCGAGACGGTCGCACGTGAGCCGAACGTGGAGCGCGTACGCGAGATCGACGCGGCTAAATTTATCCTCCAGTCGCTGTTTGAAAGTGTTACGCGCGAGGATACTGAACCTAAACAAGTGTGCGTCGGTCTATTAATATTTCGTGCACAATGTGAACAGTTGACAATGTTTAAGAGTTCTCCCATGAGACGTACCAAGTAATTCATCATCAATCGGAAACATGCTTAAATGTTATGGCTGGTTTAGCCTTTCTTTTGCTGGTGTTGGCTCTGGCCCTTGCAGCCCCGGATTGGACCGACTGTCCGAGCTCTTGTCGGTGCAAGTGGTCTTCCGGGAAGAAGACGGCGATCTGTCAGAAGGCGGGTATGTCTCAAATTCCCCCTTTAGACGAAGACATTCAAGTTTTAGATTTGTCGGGTAATTCCATCGCGGCTCTGGCGAACGCCGAGTTTTTGAGCATAGGGTTATTAAATCTGCAGAGGATTTTCTTGTCCGACACTGGATTACGCGAAGTGCATCAGAACGCGTTCAAAGACCTGACCATTTTGGTCGAGATAGACTTGTCGAACAATCAAATTGGCCAGCTGCATCCGTTAACGTTTACCGGTAACGTGAGATTGAGGATTCTCGTGTTGACGGGCAACCCGTTAAATCAACTAGTAGCCGAACAGTTCCCCGTATTGCCGCACTTGAGGACGCTAGAGTTAGAAAGTTGTCAATTAGTCAATGTAAATAAAAAAGCTTTTATACATCTATCGAACCTCGAGTTATTGAATCTGAAAAGCAATCAGTTGAAGAGTTTGAGTGAGCGGTCGTTCATGAACTTTCCGCATTTGAAAACGTTGATGCTGGACGGGAACCCGTGGCGATGCGATTGCGAGTTACGCGGCTTTCGCGATTGGTTTTTGAGCAGCAGGCTGCACTCGATACCTTTGACGTGCTCGGAGCCCGAACAGGTGGCCGCCCGAGAGTGGAACTACGTGGAATCGGCGGAGTTTGCATGCCCGCCCCAGGTGTTCGTCTCGCCGCAGAATCAGGTGCAGGCCGAGGCCGGTGGCAACGTTACGCTGGGCTGTCGGGTGGTGGGCGACCCCGAACCGCAAGTCTCGTGGCAATACGAGGGCTACGCCATCAACCACACCTGGCTGGTGATAGAGGCCGAGGAGGGCCTGCTGGACAAGTGGGCCAACATCAGCGTCTACAACGTGAGCGACGTGGACGTGGGGGTGTACACTTGCGTGGCCAAGAACGTCCTGCAAACCGTATCGAACAATGTGACGTTAGTGTTGCCGGAGGTGATGACGGCCAAAACGACCAGCAAATCGGACGCCAGTTACATTTGGTGGGGTGCGCTGATAGGCAGTGTGGTTGTGGCATCGTCTCTGGTGATAACAGTTGTGGCTGTGTGTTGTGTGAGGTACCGTTCGAGACCGAATCGTAGAGATATTAAGGCCAGTGTCAGTTTCACGGACCAAGAGAAGAAGCTGCTGGACGTGAGCATAGCGACGACCACGGACCGCGGCACGGGCAGCATGGAGGCCATCGGTCCCGAGCTCGAGATTTTAGACCCTCTGGTGCATTTCACCTTGGAGCGGGAACCGCTGCCGATGTCGGTGTCGATGCCGGCGCCCATGCCGATGGCGGTGTTTCCGCCGCCACCGGAGTTCGGCGAACCCATGCAGGATCCCTACGGAAACTTCTACATCTCCGTAGCCGTGAGTCGAGATCCTAATTTTATAGATGTTGCCAGGTGCCCTGACCTGTTAGATTTACCCCACAGGCCCAAACAGAAGTATCATGGTATGGCCACCATGCCCAGGCGTCCTCCTCACGCGCCGCCCCGCCAACTTGCCAACTATGATAACATGGGTCCAAGGGTGACGGCAGGGGGCAGTTCGACACTTTCTCTGCCCGGCTCTTCGGCAGCCAATCAACCGCCACAAACCACCAAAACTCAAACTAAGGAGCTACCGCTACCGCCTCCCCCTCCCCAGCAGCACTGCGTAACCCTCACTCCAGAGTTCGTGTCTCTTTAACTCCCCCTGTGGTTTATCTTCAATTAGTGCCTTTTGCTCACATCATTAAATTATTCCTTTGTCTATAACTACATACGATCTCAAATCACACAACAATCATCCCCTAAAACTGACTGTTTTTTACACTAAAATCTATTCAACATTCTGATTCTGTTGTTTTTCATTTCAATATACCTACTCAAATGATGTCAAATCGATTTGAAAAATTTAGTTTTTCACAAATGGTTCAGAAATATGAAAAGTCCCATTTATCAAGACATCATTTGAGTAAATGGAAAAACAGTTTTGACCCTTTAAAAAAGAAAGTTTGTCTTAAAATATTTACTGGAATTTACCTTTATCCTTTGGGCCACTAATTTTGTATATACAGGGTGATTCACCTAACTAATTCATAAGAGGTGTATATAGAACTTTAAAACCGTTTATCTGAACATTGCTTTTTTAAAATATGATATATATATATATATATTGATTTCAAAAAAAAATTCTGAAGCTATTGAATTTTCAATCGTTTTCCCCATCTTCAATTGTTTTCGAAATACTAAATTTTTTCAAAAAAATTTTATAAATGGAGTGGTTAACTAAAATGTAAATTGTATTGTAACAATAATTGTTATGTTGAAAAGTTCATTCTTGGTATACACCTTAACAAAGGAGTCTCTTTAAAACCTCTAAAGAATCAGTTAGGTGAATTGTCCTGTATATTAAACTAAAATATAAAACTAATGTATAACTAGATAAAAAACAGTGCTTTTTTATCTAGTTATCTAGTTATAAACATTAGTGACAGGGAGTTTCAAGTGAAGGTCGAAACAATTAAATATTTAAAATATAAAATTTGAATAAGAAAACAGTATTAAACACAAAATTCAAGTTATATAGTTATTTTAATTAAAAACTTCAAAAAACAGTCAGTTATACAAAATTCTAACATAATTTTAATGTCAATCGATGTACCAACCCGTTACCTACCCTTCTCAGACTGTACCTCTGTGTAACATTTTACCTATTACTGTATATTAAAAAAAACACCGCACTTGTCACATGTGAATAAAAATGCGGCAAACGATATGAGATTAAGACTTTCGACTTAAAAACATTATTTCAATATTGTATTATATGCTGGGTAAGTCAATTTTTGTGTATTATGTTTTTTGTTATTTTTGTGAGTATGAATTTAGAGTTAAAAAACGATTTAAAAGTTTTTAAGTGAGAAATTTGTATCTTTATAAATTCCAAAGTGGAAAAAATAAAATAAGGAAAACCCAAGATTTTACTGCAAATTCTTAGGTAATAAATTTAGCATATCTTTGTTAGTAGAACATTATTATATCTGGTTTGGAAGTTTTATGGCAAAACAAATTTGTTGCTTATTTAATTTAACCTAATAAAAATAAAATTACACAAAAAAGGCCAAATTGAATTCATGTTTGCAAAAGCCCTTTTTAAAACATAAATATTGACTTATTCTGAAAAATTTTCCAACAAGAAAATATAAGAGATATTTTTCAATCCCAGTAAAATAATATTTTAATAATCACCTAAATAATAAATTGATAATATTCAACTGAGAAAAAACATCTCATATATTGTATTGTTATTAAGATTAATGTTTTTTTTGTTATAAATACGTATAATTGTTGATCTGTTAGGTTAATAACTAATAAATAAATCAAACTTTATAATTTTTTCAGCGTTTGATTTTGAAATACCCCACAATTTTTGAAAAATTAATTAGGCAATATAGTTTTTTTAAACAGCCACAAGATTTTTTTAGGTATTTAAAATAACTAATCAAAAAATGATTTTTACAAACTAATTTAATCAAGAAATTTATATAATGTATTTTCCGGAGTGTATTTTTTATTGATTATTTTAAAAACTAAATTTGTCAAAATTTATCAAAAAATATTTTCAGAATTTTTTAATGTCTTTAGCAATTATATTATATTTTCACCAGGTCGATAATTTAAACTTTATTGATAATAAAGTGATTGATTATAGCATAGCCACTAAAAAATGATTTAGACCAATCGGGTTAGTAACTATTTACTACTTACTACGTTATACTTTTGAACTACTTTAAACTCATTTTGCATTAAAATTAAGTTACAAAATTTGGAATAAATAAAATACAAAACAAAACTCAATAAAACCACATTTTGTCGCAACAAAACAAAACAAAATTTTCATTTTATAATCCTACAAATATATCTATATTTCTTGGGTACATGATCTTGGCAAAGGCTACCAAAAGCTATTAGATGTTGAATTTAGTTTACGGATATATGATGAAACATTAATAATTTTGTTTTGGATTTCCAAGACATAAGCTTTTTGTATACTGTTTTACCCACAAATTACCTAAGTAAAAGTATTTTTTGCATTAGGTTTCATAAACGTCATTTTAGTCACAAAATAATTTCCTCAAAAAGGGCCCTTTATGACAACTGTCAATGGCTAAAAAGCCACTACTGCTAATTTCAGCCTGTAACTAAAAAATGTCATTATTTTTTTCAAACTTTCATCAGAGTGCAATTTAAATTGGCTTCTCCAATAAACCTCCCCTATCCACTATCCCTTGAAACGATCCTTTATTCTTCCCTTCCCTTCCAGCAATAAATATACAATGTATTTCCTTAAATGACCCCAAAAACAACCTATTCATCTCGAGAGACTTTGAAGAACTTTTGTTGCAATATAGCAAAATACCTACTTATATCAACTGAAATTTATTTGTCTCTTTGTCAAAGTTAATCAATAGTTTGGTAGGTATATCATAATCAAATATTTAATGAATAAATAACTTTTTCTACCTTTGTATAATTATATAGAGGTTATCAGTAATAATAACAAAATTTGTAAAATTTGACTGGAAATCTTAATTTTGTTTAGAAAATTTTATTTGATTTGTTTTAAATTGCTTTAAAGTAGTTTTTAGTTAATTGTACATAAAACAGTCAACCTATTTAAAATGCATCTGTAAACAAGGCTTCAATAAATTTCAATGAAATTTGAATCCACCTTGTAAGAGATCTTCTATCGAAAGCGGAACTTTTCCTTTGATCGCATTAAATGGCGTATATTTACTACGTTTGTCGAAAACAACAATTCGATAGGTTTTTCACTTTGGAACATTTAGAAAAGTTTGTTCTTTACAAGGAGAAATCTCGATCCATACAAGAAAAGCAACATTAAGTGTGTTTTTTTTGTGGTGGAAAATCAAACTGGTTTTAAAAAACAAAAAACAGTTTTTCTTTATTATTTTTAAAATTAAGTTATTTCGTTATAAGTGAAATAAAAAAAATCTAAAAAACTAAAACTTTTAGTCGATAAAATATCTATATAAATATATACTTCAAGATTTTAGAAAGCCACCCTGTATACAATAAATGTTTTTCTTTCTGTTTTAAAACATTTTTAAGGGTTTTAGAGTAAACTCCAGCATACAACTCGTTTTTAAAGTAAATAAAGTTAATAAATCATAGAGTCTGAGTCGGATTAGTTTAGACTAAATATTCCTTTTCAAAATAGTTCTACGAAGTACATAAGCTGAAACTACATAAATATTTGATTTAGTAGAAGGCGAAAAACTTGTGCTACATAAACATAAAATTTCAAAGTTTGCTGCATTAAGCTTAAAAAACGTTAATGTTCAAAGTTTTACTGACATATTCGTATCCGTAACATAATTTTAATTAAGAACCTTGGAAATGCTAAAATAACACGTTTATATCAAAAAAATAATAAAGCAAAAAACATTCTTTAACGATTTTTTAATTTGTATAAACTCCATTCAAAACATCTTACAATTAAAGTCACAAAATTCACGACTTCAATGTTGTATAATCCTTTAGTAACGCTTATTTCATAACAAAGTTATGCATATTTATTTTATTGACTGTTTCCTACGGGTAATTTCGTATATTAGCCACCAATGAGTCCTCTAATTTTATTTCCTTTTTAACTGTAAATAGACAAATACCCAAGAAGTAAAAAAACTCAATTTTTCTTTTCTCCCCCCTTCACCTATTTATACAGGGCTATGCAAAAGTTACTGTGCAGACCTAACTTTAAAAAATTGTACTTCTTTTGCTAATAAAGCTATCGACATTAAACAAACTGTTAATTGTTAAGAAAATATTTCTCTTTTAAACCATATAGGACACATTTAGTTATTGATGCCCTAAATGGTCTTTGGAATTTCTTTAAAAATGCAATTTTTTGGCAAAATTGTCTAATTTTATAAATACATATATTCTTAGAACAACTTGCCATCAAAATTTTTTTAATGGAGTTTGTTACCAAAGTTCTTACTCTATATAAAAGTAATAAAAACATTTTCAAATAATATTGGTTAAAAGTTTAAAAAAATATAATAAAAATTCATGTTTTCGAAAAATCACTATTTTCAGCCGTTTAATGGTTTAAAAAGGCTATGTTTGAGTGAGTCGATTTAAACCAATTTATGCTTATCATCACATGCACTTATTAGCCTCCAATAACCATGAATACAATTTGTGTATTTTGCTTTTAACTGGGTATAAGCAAAATATATTTTGCATATTGTGTATACACAATATGCCCACCTGACTAAATCCATAATATGGGTTATAATATTATTAATTTTATTATTATAGTGTGGATTATATTAATATAAATCCATATTATTATATTAAATATATAGGTATTTTATAAAAAAAGCTCGGTAGAGTTCTAATTCGCAAGAGACAATTTTTAAGATTTTGTTTTAATAATTAAAATATTCTTTAGATATTGAAATTTTTACATATTCATACAAACTAACCTACTTACTGTAAACATACTAATTTTTTACCTTTTGTAAAAAACTTTGTTAAATAAACAAAAACTAATATAATAAATTATTAAATTGTGCAAAAACAGTTTTCTGTCATTTAAAAGTGTCAAATAGTTTGAAGTGTCCAAAAATGGATTGTTCCGTTGGAAAATTAATTAATGGATCTTGTACTAAGGAGGAAAAGGATTTAATAGAATGGCGAGTGGATGCAACTGTAACCGATATCATGATACCTGTGCACAAATTATTTACATTATTTTACCATCGTTTTTGGAGAAGTCTGCGGCGCGCCGCGGCGATCCATTTAAACGCCATAAGTCTTTAATTTATTCCTCTTGATAGACATTATTCACATACGAAAACTTTCCGATTCATATAACTTTTTAGAGGTAAAAAATAGTAAATAGGTTTTTTAGGTGATTGTAGTTTATGAAAAGTATGTCTTTTAGTCATTTAATTAATTTTTTGTACATTTGATTATGTTTTCTTAATTTAAAAAATAAATAAATGGTTAGTTAATTTTTTACGCCACTGTATGTGGTTTTTATATTT